TATAAATTATGTTAGGGGAGGGACAGAAATCAGCTGATTTTTTAGGGGGGTAAGGGGTTTGTGATTCGATCAGGTCCTATATTTTCTAGTTAAATTTAATTGGCTAATATTTGAATCAGGTGGGGTGGAGGTATATCCTCTTAGTAACTTGAAATCACCTGATTTCTGTTCCTCCCCTTATTTAGGTTATTTTTACTTGATAAGTTAAAGTTTATTATGTTCTTTGATATATATGAATTATTTTTTGTTTTACAAATATAAATTAATATTATTATTAAATTAAACTTATTATATTACAATTATTAAATTAAATCTGTATCATTATTCATAACATCCTTTGTCGTTTCTGAATTATTCGAGCATAATAAGTACATGAGATATGGCTTTTTACTTGGAGCCCAAGTGGCTTGTTTTTGCCTCTTTCTCTCTACTAATTATATATCTTTTTCCATCTTTACTAATCGGCTCCACTCCATCATTGCTTGAACGTGGCGCCAATTATTAGCCATTTTCTCAGTACAGATTCATTTTACCGCTTGCTCAAATAAGTGCCAATTCTCTTCTACATAAGAATGGGCATCATCATCAGGATTGTCAAGATCATTAACATTAGCATACTCCGGAATATCAATAGGTGCAACCATCATAGATGAGATACTTTCTGCAACTTCATCACTATTAATATCTTTTATAACTAAAAAGGGAGGAGTAGTTCAACGTTCAAAATTGTCTTTAAACAACCGTTACCGCGTACTGTCAGGCATATTCATAGCTTGCCTTACTAAGTGTTTATATATTAAAAAGCAATTTCCAACAAAGGTTGGACAACTACAGATCCAACGAGAGACCTGAGTAAAGTGCGAGCCAACTGAATTGGCTAATTCAATTGTTACAATGTTGGTACACTTTCTCTTACCCTTTCTCTTTGAACGGATTTCTTTTTTTTTTTAAATTAACTTATTTTTATCATCTTTTGGTTTAATTCAGTTAAAATTTAAATATAATTCTAGAATCA